CCGGGGTGTTTCAAATGATGGGGCTGCTGAATGAATGGCACAACTTGGATCGTAAATCTGGAATCTGTTTTCAGCATCTCCTGGATTCCTCAGTTCTCTTTCATGTGATCACTTCATGTGTTTAGTTAGCTTGGGTTTCCTCACACCAGGTGATCTTAGTTTAATTGGACTTCCCAGAGAACTGAACTGTTAGTTTCCAGGCAAACTTTCAAAGTTTAGGCCTGACACAGGCACCGTGCCATTTTCACTGCATTCTATTGGTTAAAGCAGGTCATTAGGCCCTCGCCCAGATTCAGTGGCGGGAGTTCCACAGGCCTTGAATACTGGAAGACATGGTTCATTGGGGCCATCTTTGTAGGTTAGCTACCACATCAATGTTTATGAAAGAAATTCCATAAATATTAAACTGACTCTATTTCCTACCAAATAACCAAAAGCAAAGGAATGCTCAACTTAATTGTCTTTCACTATATACAAGTCTATACTCAAGTCCTTCTGATTTTTTCCCCATGATCTCTCCTAAATTTGTCTCATTCAAATCCTTTCAGCACTGCAGTCTCTTCATTAGTTCCTAGAATGAGTCTCATCTAAATTATATATTTCCAGATATTTGAATTCCCAAAACCAGAAAAATTAAGGTATGACTAACTTAATCTATATATTTGTATAGAGTTAACTTTTTAATTTTTAAATTTATAAGTAAGAATAATTTAAACTGTACCATTTACTATTACTCTTGCTTCTTAAAGAACATTGATTTTTTTTAAAGTAATAAAGAGAATTTCAGACTGAATTAGAATTGCTTATTTTATGAAAATATATACCGTGTTTCCCTGAAAATAAGACATCCTCTGAAAATAAGACCTACTTACAGGTTTCCTTCTGAGTGAAATATAAGGCATCCCCCGAAAATAAGCCTCGCCCCCCCCCCCCCAGGCTAAACATGAGAGATTTGGTCCACTGATTCTGAAAGAAATGGAGTCACAAGAAATTCACCAGGAAATTCAGGAATTGGATTGTTATGATGATGTTCCAGAAGATGACATGATTGTCACTGAATAAATGAGTAAATTCTTGATACTGTAGGATTCACAGTTTGTCTGGTTTGTGTTGACAACTACCGTACTACCATACTGTATACAGGTAATAAATTTCCTTTATTTTCATTTAACAATAAATGTGTACCGTATTCTTCTTCATGGAAAAATAAGACATCCCCTGAAAATAAGACCTAGCGCATCTTTGGGAGCAAAAATTAATATAAGACACTGTCTTATTTTCAGGAAAACAGGGTAGTACTAGAGGCCCAGTGCATGAAATTCGTGCTCAGGGGTGTGTGTGTGTGTGTGTGTGTGTGTGTGTGTGTGTGTGTCCCTCTGCCCAGCCTGTACCCTATCCAATTTGGAACCCCAAGAGGGATGTCCGACTACTGGCAGTTGAACATCCCTCTCACAATCAATAACTGCTGGCTCCCAACCGCTTGCCTGCCTGCCTGCCTGCCTAATTGCCCCTAACCACTTCTGCCTGCCAGCCTGATCACCCCTAATCACTCCCCTGCCAGCCTGATCAACTACCCTCCCCTGCAGGCCTGGTCACCCCCAAAGGCCCTCCCCTGCAGGCCTTGTTGCCCCCAACTGCTTTCCCCTGCAGGCCTGGTCACCCGCAACTGCCCTCCCTTTCAGGCCTGGTCCTTTCCAACTGCCATCCCCTGCCACACTGATCACCCACCACTGCCTTCCCCTGCCAGCCATCTTGTGGCAGCCATCTTGTGTCCACATGGGAGTGGCCATCTTTGACCACATGGAAGCACTCAGTATGTATAATTAACATTTTATTATATTTATACATAATATCAGGATTTTGCATTTGACTTAGGATCTTAATGTGTATTTTAAGGGTAATCTCAAATATCCACAATGCTTTTGAAGAAATTAGTCACAATTAGACTAAAATTTTAAAGTTGGAAGGAACTTTAATGTCATATGATTCTATCCTGTATAGCTGAGGACTTTATTCAAAAATCACAAAACATTGATATAGAGTCCGTATGGTATAAGACAACTAGTGTGGGTTACAATCATCAGACTAACCTAATAGATAAGTAAAATATATAAACTCCACAGATATTTCTAGCAGCTTTGTCAGGTTTTCAGTCCCACTTACATTTATCAGTGCCACTCATAGATTAACTACCTGCACTTAATTATATATGTCCAAATAGAAAGCAACATAATGCTCATAGTTTTTGCAAAACAACATTCCTAAAAATACCTAAAAATGGTAAAAAGAACAAGCAGTATTTAAGCAATTTTAGGGCAACTGCCAGATTTATTTTAAGCCCTATGCTTAAAAATAAATTTAATTCACATGACTGGCTTAAAATATCAGAGCCAAGAAAAGTCACTGCAAAAGTATTTAATGAAATACCTGTATTTGTCTAATGGTTGTCTTTGATATGATTCTTGTGAACTTACTTTCTATCTTGATTTATACAGTGGATTTTATATCTAAATGTTTCTTGTATATAATAAGATGAAAACAGAATAGTCATTTTTCAAACAATATATATACCATTTTCTTAAACTCTGTCATGATAAAGTTATTGGACTATTCAGATGCTGTCCAATGCTTTTTAAAAAATATATATATATTATTGATTTTTTTTTTCAGAGAGGAAGGGAGAGGAGGGAGAGTTAGAAAATATCAATGAGAGAGAATCATCTATCAGCTGCCTACTGCACACCCCCCACTGAGAATGTTTCCTCAACCAACGTATATGCCCTTTACTGGAATCGAATGTGGGACCCTTCAGTCCGCAGGCCGAAGCTCTATTTATTGAGCCAAACCAGCCAGGGCTGTCCAATGCTTTTTATGCAGAAGGAAAATTAGTTCATATGTAGCATTTCTAGTGTGAAGTAAAACATCCACGTTCCCTATTTGACCTAAAGCTAAAAACTAAGATTGATTAAAAATTGAGGTAGATTTCCTACTGAAAGCATCGAAGAACATTATCAGCTGATTACGTAACAAGTCTTTCACCCTCACACCACAGTCAATGAAGCAATTGAATTAGGGAGGAAATGCCTATTATTTTGATGATCTAATAAGCTCTGGTAAAAAAAAAAAATCACAATTCTATTTCACTGAACGTTTTGAAATTGAAACAGGAGGATTTCACAGCAAGAAGAGAAAATCGATGGAGTGTTAATGGTGTGGGAGAACTAGTATAAATAACTTCAATGTTGGTTTTTTTTCCTAATGAGGTTATTTTCCTTTTTTAAAAAGTATAAATCGAGCTTGACTTCCATGGACTATATATTTCCTGGAGTCAATATTTTAATGCTCTCCTGACACACACGTTGGGCTTAGCGGAGGCCTGGGCACCACTTTGCTTAGTAATTTCTCCCATAGACTTCCAGGCGGGATAAACGTTGTGGGGTTCACGGAGGGCCCCCAAACCAAACCCCGCTGGGGCTCAAAGTCTGGGGCCTGCCGGCCAACAAGCATCTTGCCTTAAAAACAAAACAAAATTAAAAAAAAATCCACCAAAAAAACGAAAACAAAACCCCAAAGGCCCTATCTCCAAAATAACAATAATAAGCATCCTTTTCTTTCTGGTCAGAAGTCTCCGGTCCGTGGCAGCCGGGGGAGGAAGCAGAGCTGGGGCAGCAGCCGGGGGGACCCGACCCGAGAGGCCGTGAGGTCCGCCCCGCCCCGCCTCCACAGCAGCAGCAGCAGCAGCAGCGGCAGTAGCTTCAGAGCCCTGCGTGGCTCTCCACAGCCGGCCAGAGCCGGGGCTGTGCCATCCGCCGCGCCCTGTGGGCTTCTCCCGGTGGCCGGCCGCCCGGGTCAGTCCGCGGAGCCCCAGGCCCGCCCCGGCCCCCGCCCCGCCCCGCCCGGCCCCGCCCCGCCCCGCTCGGCCCCGCCCCGCCCCGCCCCGCTCGGCCCCGCCCCGCCCCGCCCGGCTGTGCGGAGGCGCCGGCCTGCGCGCGCGCTCCCCTCCGAGCGTCCGCGCCCCGCATGCGCAGTGCGCGCCGGCGGTCTCCGTTTGTTTAAACAGGAAGACGGACATATTAGTCCCTCACGGCCCCCCTCGCCCCACCCCCCGGGGCTTTCGCCTTCGCCACTTGCCCTTTCCCCAGCCGGGGCCACAGCGCCTCCCAGAAGCTCCCCCCGCCACCACCATCCAACAGTCGCCAGGACCGGGCTCTTCGCCTTCCTCACCGCCCGCTCTGCAGCCGTCCCGAGGCTCCTCCATCGGGCACCGACCTCGCCCTGCCCCGCCGCCGCCGCCGCCGGACACCAAGGCAGACGCCCCAGGAGCGGCGGGGAAGAACTAGGAAAGCGAGGCTACCCCGCGAGGACCAGCAGCTTGGCCGACGACACGGATCGCCGGGGCGTCGGGCCGGGCCGGCGGGAGCCGGGGATGCGGGGCTGAGACCCGCCACCGACGCTTCAGCGCGGAGCGGGCCCGCCCGGGGCCCCCGCGGCGGCGGCGGCAGCTGGCACCGCTCCGCACCCACCCTCGCGCGCTCTCGCCTTTTTCCTCTTTTCCCTCCGCGGCCGCCCCGAGGAGCCTCCACCCTGCTGCTGCGCCTCACCCCCCGCCTGCCCATCTCGGGACGGGGAGCAGCCCTCCATGGCCACGGCGGCTCGGGCCCGCTAGGCTGAGGCACCTCGCGGGAGGAGCGACGAGGTCGGCTGTCGTCGTGGAGGGGCTGCCCGGTGGGATGCGACTTTGGGCGTCCGAGCGGCTGTGGGTCGCAGTCGCCCCGGGCCCGGGGTCTGGAGAGCAGCGGAGATCCCCTCAGTGAGGAGGGGGAGGAGGAGGACCGAGAGGAGGAGGAGGAGGAGGAGGGGGAACGGGGCGCACCTGGTGACCCTGAGGTTCCGGCTCCTGCGCCCCACGGCTGCGAACCCACCCGCGGAGGAAGTCGGTTGAAATTGCTTTCCGCTGCTGGTGCCGGTAACCGGGGTATTGTCACAGCAGCAGCAGCAACATGTCGACTGGGGACAGTTTTGAGACTCGGTTTGAAAAAATCGACAACCTGCTGCGGGATCCCAAATCGGAAGTGAATTCTGATTGTTTGCTGGTGAGTAAGCGACTGCTCGCTCGCGCTCGCTCGCGCTCTCTCTCTCTCTCTCTCTCTCTCTCTCTCTCTCTCTCTCTCTCTCTCTCTCTTTTTGCTTGTATGGGGTTTGTCTTTTGCCTTCCTCTCGCTTCCAGCCTCGTTGTCTGCAAAAAGGTTACAGCTATGCACATAGCCTTTTGGAAAACAACAAAGTCTGGTGGTTTTGCCCCCGGAGAATCTTGCCAGTACCTCTAGCATCTCATGCTGTGGCCCTGTTTATCATTGGACTTGACTGTGCTCACTACCCTCTGAACTCTTAGCTCTGGCTCATCAGTTCAACATTACACAAAAGATACTCATAAACCTCTATTGCAGGCATCCTATAAAAAGTTAACCACGTCAGAGTCATTACTGCATGTATAGTTGGTCGCACGGCGATCTTAGTTATAGTATCTTTCTGATCGGCTTGACAGTGTCGTTGGTTAAGACCACTTTTCAGTTAGGATTTGGCTCCTAAGTTAGTTTTTAGATGTGGAAGTGACGGTGGAGAATCATATCGAGGAAGTGATTTTTTTAGTTAAAAAAAAGTTATAGGTGACGAGTCCAAAGGAACTTTTTCTGTTGGACTGTTGAATCTAAAAACTCAAGGAAACTGATGATAGGTCGCAACAGTATTGATTATATATTTGATCATAACTGCCATTTTTTGGTGATGCTATGCTTAACAGTGTCACTTTTAAAACATCCGAAAGGAGGTTTTATGACATGACAGACCCAAATCCTATTTTAAAAATCCTGCAGTGGTTGATAGCATAGACAGTCAAGTAATTGGAGTGTTTAAGGTTTGTCAATTTCTTTTAATAGTAATATTTTTTTAAGCGAGTTTCTTCTTTTACTTTACTGAAAACTAAAACTTATATAATAATTCTATTTTAGTCCAAACAGAACCATATACTCTCTAAAATTGCAGGGAGTATGTAAGTGGGTAGTAATTTATAGCCTCCTCAGAATTAATGTTAGATGTACACAATATTTGGTATTAAGATTAAGTGAACAAAATCCTATAATGCCATTCAGAGAAATAATACCATATAAAAATTTCATTTTGAACCAGGAAAATTATGTAGACGGTGTAAAATTAACAATTAGTTACTCTACATACCTGTCTATATTTTTTAATGTGTATGGTTTTGCAAGAAAGATTTTCCCCCAAAGCTGTCAAATCACTGTAAGAACCCTTGATTATGGAAAGGAGCCTTGTGAGTTGTATGCTTGAACTGTCTCACTCGCCTACATTGTGGATGCACTTCAGATTGAGAAACAGAAAGGAGGGTTGATGCCTAATACAGTTTAAAACCTTTTATTGAATGGGAGAAGAGGGAGGAATCAGAATACATCTTTCTAGGAAGGATTTCCGTAACTTGTAGGAAGTCTAATTTTTCTTTTAATATACAATTTCCATATAGTATGTTTGATTTTACTTGGCTTTTTGATCTCTTTATTCTATGAAGCAGGGAGGTTATAGTAGGTTTTTTTTCTTTCTTTCATATTTTAGTTGTCTTCTAGCCTCTTGCCATAGCTTCATTTGGTGGGTACCTCGGATTTATTGAGATGTGGAGGCTGCAAGGAAATGTAAATCTTGAATGCTTTACTTGAAACTCCAATTACTTAGGAAAACCAGACCTAATTTCACATACATACATAGAAACAAAGCAAAAACACTTCACAGATTGAGAAAATATATGATAAATTTCAAATAGTTGGTATAGGTAACATATGTTCTTGGGTATTGAAAGGAAGCAATCACTGAGGGTTGGGAGAGCCAGGGTATGCTTTATGATGGATGGATAGGATTTAGATAGCGTATTCATAGCGGTAGCGGATATAGAGGGTAGAGACATGACTGGCTGTGACATGTTTAGGTGGAACAGAAGATAAAGTTGGATAGATTGGGGTTAGAATATGGAGAATTTGATTGTTAGGCTAAGGAGTTTAAATTTAGGATGTTTTGACCATTAAATATTTGTAAACAAGACTATGCCAAGATGAATGAAAAAATAAACCTGGTAGTTGTGTGCAGGATGGGTTATGTGGAAAGAGACTGGAGATGGGGTGAGATTGGGGAGACTTAAAAAAATTATTATAATAGTTCAGAAATTATTAAAGCTCCAAATTGGGATATTAGAATGGAGAAGGAAGCATTGCTGGAACTTGATTGACAGGATTGGGAAGGAGAAGAAGGAACAAGAGAGAGACAGACAGACTAGGTAAATGATCCTAACATTTTTGAGCCTAGATTATATAGTGAGACTGGTGAGAACAGCAAAGTGAGTTTTGGAAATAGCTTAGAAAGAATAGGCAACAGATACATTCAGTGTTAGATTTGATTTGTTTGAGTGGAAACTGGACAACCACAAAGAAATGACTTGTAGACTATTGGCAATTTGAAACTCAGCTTATAATTAAAGAAAACGATTTGGAAGTAATTTGTACAGAGGTGCAAGTTGAAACTGATATAATGATAAAAGGGATGAAAGTTGAACAAAAGAAGAGTCAAGAAAGTAGGCAATTAAGGCTTTTTAGAGTTAGGATGGCCAGGTTCTTGTAGTCCAAGATTTCTAAAAGAACATTTTAAAAAAAGAAGGTAATCAACAGACAGATTTTTCCCCCCTTGTAATCTTATAATCTTCATTCTTTTTTTGTTTGTTTAGTTTCATAATTGTTTATTGATAGCTGTTGAGATTTATCACCATATTAATCTGAACTTGTAAAGATTAAAATTTTATTTGGAGACAAAATCCTTTTTCCAGTTTTGTAATGTCTAGTATGAATTTCTCTGCGTGATATTTTATGTTTATCATTAAGTAGTCATTCATTCATTCTACTATTGAGAAGGACCTATCAGGTAATTTTATCTTTATCTGTGAGTCTGTTCTTACTCTTCCCTGTCTGGACTTTGGACATCTCATGTATCATGGGGACAATAACCCACTTATTTTTATTTATTTATTTTTTGTTAATCCTTACCGAAGGATATTTTTTCATTGCTTTTTAGAGATAATGGAAGGAAGGGAGGCAGGGAGGAGTGGGAACAGGGTGGGAGGGGGGAGAGGAAGAGAGAGAGAGAGAGAGAGAGAGAGAGAGAGAGAGAGAGAGAGAGAGAGAAAGAGAGAGACACAACCATACATCCATATGAGAGACGCGCATCTATTGATTGCCTCCTGCATGTGCCCCAACCAGGATCAAGGAAGGAACCTGCAACCCAGTTACATGCCCTTGACTGGGAATTGAATTCTCAACTCTTTGGTGAGCAGACTGACACTTTAACCACTGAGCAACACATGCCAGGGCAGGACAATACCACATTTACCTTTCTCTAATATTTTGGCCTTTGTTGATTTACTCAAGTGATACTTACTGAGTATGCTCTATATGCCATGTGCAGCACTCAAGTTCTAGGGGGTTGTTTTGTAATCTCAGATTATGTTTATTCTCCACTTCCTTGACTAGATCCACTCTTCAGAAGTGAAAGTTCCTAAACCATTTAGTACTAGAAGAGTTTGCTGGCAAATGTCTTTTAAATGACCTTACCCACCAAATAGCTTTTTTTGTTACTCAACTACCCTGCTTCCCCGAAAATAAGACAGTGTCTTAGATTAATTTTTGCTCCCAAAGATGCGCTAGGTCTTATTTTCAGGGGATGTCTTATTTTTCCATGAAGAAGAAAATGGTACACATTTATTGTTAAATGAAAATAAAGGAAATTTATTACCTGTATACGGTATGGTTGTGCGGTAGTTGTCAACACAAACCAGACAAACTGTGAATTCTACAGTATCAAGGATTTACTCATTTATTCGATGACAATCATGTCATCATCTTCTGGAACATCATCATAATCCAATTCCTGAATTTCCTGGTGAATTTCTTGTGACTCCATTTCTTTCAGAATCAGTGGACCAAATCTCTCATGTTTAGCCTAAGGGGGCCTTATTTTCGGGGGATGCCTTATATTTCACTCAGAAGGAAACCTGTAAGTAGGTCTTATTTTCGGAGGATGTCTTATTTTCGGGGATACACGGTACTTTTAAAATAATGTAGCTGTATAAGTGGTTATCCAGCCTTTTCTTGAAGACATAATTTATTCTTAAGGACTAGATAAGTTCACTTTTTTCATATTGCAAATAAAAAGTGCTAAAATAGTCTGCACATACTAAGATAATATTATCGTAACTATTTACTTGTTTCCCAGATTATCCAAATTGCTCAAACTTGGTTTTTTGTAAGTCAGATTTTTCCATTATCCTAATGATTGTATTACTTAATGTCCATGTTATAGTGTATAGTGATTATCAAGAACTGTTTTCCTGCCGAAACCGGTTTGGCTTAATGGATAGAGCATCGGCCTTCGGACTCCAGGGTCCCAGGTTCAATTCCAGTCAAGGGCATGTACCTTGGTTGTGGGCACATCCCCAGTGGGGGGTGTGCAGGAGGCAGCTGATTGATGTTTCTAACTCTCTATCCCTCTCTCTTTCTCGCTGTAAAAAATCAATAAAATATATTTTTTTTAAAAAAGAACTGTTTTCCTTTTCCAACAACTTTTTTTTTAAACCTCAATTATTTTTATCTGGGCTGCTAATAATTTATCAATAGTTAAGATAAGTGGGTGGGAGGATTAGCTATATATTTGTCTTGAAGTTTAACATTTCTTGAAAATAGTTACCTTGCCTGTAGCACGTTTAGCACATTCCTGTAGGATGCTAGTTAAGAGCATGGCCTTTTTTTGTTGTTGTTCCTGTTTAACTGTTGGAGGTATAGCCATGAGGTGTGTAGAAAGAGGGAAGGGAACCAATATTAGTTGAGCATTGCATACTGAGTTCTAACACTGCTGTCTTCTTTGTACATATTTGTTGCTACTATATTTTATTAGCTTTTTAAAACATTAAGAATTTTTTTTTTTTAAATTTGAGGGAGGGAAAGAGAGGAACAAACATCAGTTTGTCGTTTCACTTATTTATGCC